CGTATATGTATATTAGTTTAACACTCATTATTGTCGCAGTGCAATTGTTCTCTTAAAATTCATCTGGTGCAGGAAGAGTATGCCTGCTGAGCGGTAACCGATGTTTTAATCCTTACTCTGAAGAGTTAGTTTAGCGACTAGGTCAGTCAAATTATGTTACTTGTACTGCGTTGCTAGTATAATGTTTAAATAAATCCCTTGCTTTGATATTTAAGTAAACGGTATAGTTTTGATACAAATGTGATGCATTTAATCGACGCAAGTCTGTGGGAATAATTAATTTAAACGAGCATTTGATTACCGCTGGGCCACACAAGGATTCCAGCTCGTGGATAAAAGTGGCAGACGTTGGGTTCTCTCCGGGTGTTTCCCGACAATTACTCCACTTTTGCGTTCATTTGTTGCTCCGTCTTCGCGCTTCACCTCTCTTTAGATATCGAGCACTGGAGACATCAGCCCACGAACTCTGCCCGCTGGTCACGTAAGTGTTATCAGATATGCCGGGAATTCGAGAACCAAAGATTGTGTTCACGCGCCAAATACGAAGATGAATATACAGCATGTTGGCTTGATTTGTGTTCCTTTAATTTGTACGTTATTGTTTCGTCATTGCAATAGAAGAACGCTACCGGTTAACAAACTGTTGTTTGATAACATTGCGCCTCCCAATTTCCTAATGATGTTATCACTGACTTCATATTCAGACACTTCAGATATCGAATCAGGGTAACACTATTTACGAATTTGACTTTAATCTCTACGTAGTTTCTTTGCATTTTGCAAATATCTACTTAATTCCTATTGTTCATGTGTGTGTCACTATCATTATAATCACTTTACATCATTGGTCGTATTAATTTTTCTCCCCTGTTTCTATAAGATATTATCCCACAAATTTTAGACCAGGTGTTAAGAATAAACCTGCATTTATCGACTGTGATCAATTATGAATTTTAATTCAGTTTTTAACTTCAACAATGGCCCATCCATAATTCTCTTTAGTATCCATGTTTTCACTACTCTTTACAATGCCGTTATGGACGTTTTACTAGATACGTTCATAAACTTAAATATGTGTTAAGGAGGCTGTAGGTTTTCCATGTAGCCTTATTGTTCTTATAAGTGTACAACACAAAGGAATGACTTACTGATGAAAACTGTTATCTTTATTGATGTTCTAATTCGTATTCTACTTCCATTAGGATTTTCATATTAAAAAACATCAATTGTGGTACACCACCCACATTCAAGCTACATAGACAAGAGCTCGACTGCGTTCATCGTTAAAAATGTCCGTTAATGACCTGATTTTTAACGTAAGTTTACAAAACGGAAACGCAGTATACGACGACGAAAATATCTGTAAATACGAAAGACGGAACGTTTACTTATTTGCTATAGTTTCGGTTTTCGGAAGAAAAAAAATGCCGAGTAGACACGAAACTTTCTTCGACACTGTGGACAGAAAATTATTTTCTGCTTCAGTCAGGATACCCACGCCACTTAAACGCATTTATCCAAACATAAAAATGTAGCGTTTGACATCTGTGACATTTAGAATTATTAAATTACATAAACATTACTCTAAGCTGGAAACATTGCTATGTGACTTCTTCAGGAACCTGAGATGTACGCGCAGATCCAGAACAAAATATTTTATCTGTAAATACATTTCTAAAACAATTAAATACCTGCATAATAAAACTTTAGGTTTTTTAAGTTTCTCTTCCTTAAAACTGGAAGCACATCAAACTAACAAATTTAAGGAGAGGGTCCGCGAATTAACGGAAAATTCTGCGATATATTTTGGGAAGTCTGGTTTTGAGAAAGCAAAGCATCTGTAAATTTACGGACAGATCCGGAGAATTGTTTTATCGCCACTTTTTTTTCAAAAATGTGGACAAGAAGGAAGGATTTGTTTTAGAGTCACGGTTTTTTTTTTCTTCCCAAGAAAATATTGCAATTTTGTTAGTTCACAAAAACAACACACGCAAAAATGGACACAGTTTCATTCGTATATTGCTAGATAGTAATGTAAAAATGTGATTGATATACTCCGCAAAGATATTCACGCATTTCTGCTGTGATTAACTTTTTTGTTGGCTGCCAGTGTCTGTTATAATACTCGCCTGTCTCCGGCATTGTGAGCAGATTTACCAACTCAGTCATAGAGTACTTGAGATTACAGAGGTGAAACAACCGCTTACACGGGTAAAAGTAGGAGAGACACGCCAGTGAACGACGTCGCAGGTCGGCAAAGTGTTACAATGCCGTTCGCATATCGTCGCCTTGTAAGCCACTTGTCAGCTGACAGCCCAGGCAATAAGAGAACTTCTTTAAGCGTGCAGTAGCCAGACGGACACAAGGCCCGTTTCCAGAGACACGCGCAGCCAATCAGAGAATGGCTACGCCCACGTCCAAAGTAAACACTACGCCATTTCGTTCTCTGTACGCAAATATACTATGCACCTCGATGATTTGGCGAAATCTGTGTGTGTGGGTGTGCGTGTGTAATGAGTATATTGATGGTAGGGGGCAGTGCGAGGAGAGTTTGAGATTTGAAGGGCTCTTTTCGACAGTGTTAAGCGCCCATACAGGTGAAGTAAGATCGAGGTAGAGCAGCAATGGAACGAAATGTTCATGGAATACGGGAGTACGTCGAGAAGTCAGACCACAGCAACAATCTTTCACCATATAGGATGTCCGCATGAAATCTCCCTGATTTCATAGTACACTTATTCAAAAATTATTGGACGTAGAAGCTTGCAGTTTGTAGCACCAGTTGAAGCAACTCAATAAGTTTTTTGTGTAATTTTGTCTAAGTGAGTGTTTTTATTTTGTTTCCGGTGCTAAATAATTATAAAAAATGACTACATCCCAAGAGAGAGCCCAATGCGTAGCGTGGTGTGCGGAAACATCGTCACCAAACGCTGTTCAAAGAAATTTCCGATGTGTGTTACCAGACGTAAAGACAAGAAAGGCTTGGTATGACAAGTTTCAAGCCAGTAGGAGTGTAAACAGACAATCAGGTTGTGGTAGGGAAAGCACGTCTGATGAAACGTTAGAGTATATCAGAGATGCCTTCCAGAGAAGCCCATCAAAGTCCGTTCGTCGAGCATCATGAGAGCTGAACACCCCACTCTCTGCAGTTCAGAAGGTGCTGCACAAAATACTTATTTGTATGTGTCCAAAATTCAAATTGTGCAAGCGCTGCAGCCATACGACCTCACACTACGCCAAAGGTTTGCTATTGAAATGCTGGACCGGATCGAGGAGAAGCCCAACTACCTGGGGAATGTTGTTTTCAGCCACAAAGCAAAATTAAAAACTGAATTCTTGGGCATTTTTTCTTTATTGAGCAAACAATTACCGAAAGCATTTATCTGGACACGCTGGAGTATTTGCTGTCCCTCAGCTTCAACCTCTGCAGCCAAATGAGATCTTCCAGCAGTATGGTGTACCACCGCACTGAAGTTTACATGTTCATATGTTCTTGGACAGAACATTTCCACGGCGATGGATAGAACGAGATGGACCGACCAATTGGCACGCACGAACTCCAGACATAACCCCTCCGGATTTTTTCCTTCGAGGTTATGTGAAATACATTGAGCATGCTTCACCTGTACGTGACGTTGGCGATTTCCGCAGAGAACTGTGGATGCAAGCGGTTCCATCACCGCTGACATGCTTAGGCGCACATGGGCTGAGATTGAGTATCGCTTTTACATTTTGAGGGCAACGAAAGGACATACGTAGAAGAGCACTAATGTTTCGTGTAAAACTTTTTGAGTTGTTTTACAGGATGTTGCAAACTGCAATATTCTATGTATAGTAGTTTTTTTTATTGTACTTTGAAATCAAGGAGGTTTCATGTATACACTCTGTATAACCCGCGTTCAAAATTCGGCGCTCTACGCCACCGGGAATAGAGCATGGTTCACCGTGGTGCGAAGCGAGTGCTCTACTCACTTCACCTGGGTGACTTACGTCACGTGAAGAACTTGAACTTAAGTTGTTATTTGGTTTCGTACAGACGTGTGATTCAAGCAAAAATATGTTGCCTAATTTATTATATTATATAGGTACATTAAAATCGAATAATGAGTGTGTTCTCTCTCCATAGAGAATGCATTTGTGTGAATAAAATTATAAACTAACTCCAAGCTACGAATATTTGATTGTAATGTGTCAGTGTTATTAAAGGCTGTTCACGATAGAGCACTTTTGAAATCAACAGTTGGAAAAAATCGCTGGCCTTGTCTGCATATATTTTAACGGGAGCCCTGAGTGACATGCACCCAGTAAAGTTGGTAACGATGGAGGGAAAGCAGTTGCATATTTTAACGTCGTATAAAAAGTATTAGATAACAATTTGGGAAAACTTAAATTATTTATTTCCCTTTCTCACCGAGCGAGGCGGCGTAGTGGTAAATCACTGGACTTGCATTTGGGAGGACCCGGTTTCGTTTCCCGGTCCGGCCATCCTGATTTCGGTTCTGCATGGTTTTCCGAAATCACTCCAGGCGAATGCTGGGATGGGTCTCTAACAAAGGCCATGGCCCATTCCTTCCCCCAATTCCTCTTCCCTGTGCAACTTGCACCGTCTCTAATGACTTCGCTGTCGACGAGACGTTAAGACCAACTATCTACCTACCTTCGTTCCCTTTCTGTTTTCTGAATGCATCTATGTGTAAAAATTAGCAAATTATTAAAATATTCACTTTATAATAATTTCTTAATTCCACTTGACCGACGCATGAATAAAGTGATGAGGCCTATGACATTGTTAACCTTACACAAGGCGTAAGAATGAACAACGTGCATACATTTCGATCTTAAGCAGGGCTTTCAAAAGTGTTCATTTTACCGTGAATAGCCCATACTCAACTACCGTTTACTACACAGGTGGCACACGTGAGGAGATTGTGAATTCATTACTTCCATCAATGAGAAAGAGAATTCTGTCCGATGTATAGTAAAACACATAACTTTATTCCTGTCAGCAGTGGGACTCAAACCCAAGCCCACAAGAGTGGACTGCGACCTGAACGCAGCGCCTTAGACCGCTCGGCCATCCTGAGATTTGGCTGCACCGATTGATCACAATGCCAAATTGTGAACAAAGCATGTATCTCCTGTAGAACAGTAGATTTTTTAATGTATCTAGACAACAGCAAAATAAACAATTTATTTTAAAATCAGCATTTTTCATCGAAAATAATTTGCATTTTATCATAAAATTTAATTATTCTGTGCCATTTTCTCGTAATTTAATTCCTTAACATTAATTAAATTTTCTTTTGGTGCATCAGTACTAATTAGGTCATTCATATCACAACTGAGTTATTATTTGTGTATACTGAAAAAACATAGAGTCAAGTGTAACAAAATACAAAAATCATTAACTTCTCCATAACAAAGACTAAAATTAAGTAAATGAAAAATATTCCACTACTAAAATATATTACACAATTCTTATTCTAAATATATATAAACATAAATTTAAAAATATTCTAATTTTTATCCGATATTTGCAGGGGAGCTGCGATGATGCTTAAATTTTAGGTTATTAAATTATACATTTAAAAAAATGTTGAAAGCCATTTATCTATAGCGTTGTTCGCGTTATATGTTTGTCGTTAATGATTAAATTTCTTTCGTGGTACTATCTAAGTAATATTTACATGTGTGTTGGGAGCATCTCATCATTCCTCGTTTCTCATGTATCTGTGTTGTCATGTCATCTGCGGGTATTCCTTGACAAACAACAAATATATGAGTAGCGTATGTCAAGAATAATTATAATTTTTCAGCTCCTCGCCCCTTGTGTCTTCTCTCCAAATATGTGCTACAACTACCAACGATAATTGTTAACATTAAAAGAAGAAGCTGATCGATTATGAAGCTTTAGACCATTAGTGTTTGGATGTATTTTTAAGGCTCATGTGAAATTTATACGTTTACAAAATAGTCAAAACCTGCCAATGATACAGGCACATCTATTGAATTTATTTTGTACATTTTGTAAGGCAATGAGAAGTTTTGGAAAAAAAAATTGAATATAAGTTATATGAAAATTATGACACATAGATCTCAACGGCCCTTTAAAAGCAAAACACATAAATATTCCCTTACATTATCTTTCAGTTCAACCTTTTTCATCAAAATCGCTCGTATCGTACTCTAGAAGAAGACTAAATGTTTGATTTGCCCATGCTTATTTATTTATAATTGGCTCCAAAGTTAATAATCCGTAAATAATCCACATACCGTACTCTTTTATACACAATCGTCTCTACCGTTATAATAGAGCTACCGTTTTCGCTTTGAAATGAGTGCTATAAGCACGATCAGGCCAGTCGAGTGCAATAACAAAAAAGTAATGTTATAATATGAATCAACTTTCTGCGCAAAGACAAAGTGACTACGGTATCCGTATTCTGTTCAGTTTGGTATGCTTATTGTAAAAAGCGGATTATTTTTCGGCATATCATGCACGTTAATAACTTAGATATTTTAAACTTATTTTAACTTTGGGTGCACTATAATGATAACAGGAATCAGGATGTCCGAGCGGTCTAAGGCGCTGCGTTCAGGTCGCAGTCCCCTTCTGTGGGCGTGGGTTCGAATTCCACTTCTGACAACTTGATTTTGTGCAATTATTTATGGTACTCACTTAATTCCACGACATACGAGTGCCGATAATGTCTACTTTATACATAATATCGTAAAAATTAAAACATCGCACTCTAGTTAGTTGAACTGAAATCCTGCGAAAAAGGTACAAAAAAGCTCTACATTAATTCATTTACGGCCGGAAGTTAAGATCAAAGAAGTGATTGCATGTTCGGGTAATATGGAGCATAGACATATACCAGCTGTGCAGTAAATAGTATTTATGCTCCAATATTGAAAAGTTATTTTCACTAGCATTTCTGTGAAAAGCACATGATTTCGTCTACAAGATAACATGAATTTTAACGCAAATACTTAATTCCAAGTGTTAACAATATTCCTCTAGTTAATGTATAACAGAAGAGAGCTATATGAATAGAAAGGAAAATACTATTATATTTTAAAGCACATGTTTGTTATGGAGACGTAAACTACTACTTTCAAGTCATTGTTTTATTGCATTATGTTGACTGTATTGCCAGTAATTGGTGTGCGATTGTTGGTTGCTAGTTCAAAAGATAAAAAACATTCCACCCATGTTTTATATTAGTAAAGCACGATATTGTTTTAATTTCGTACTACTACAATTGCGTTTTAAAATTATTTTCCCTATAACTTTATGGTGTAAAGTCACTTGGCCTGAATATGTTTGGCCTTAAGAAATTTCACCTAAAATTATTTGGCTAAATTTTACCTGGTCTGGTAAGTGTCCAAATCACTTAACGCCTGATTATGACTCCAGTATTTATCAATTTTTTTCTCCAAAATATCAAGTAAAAGAGGCTAGATAAGGAGGCGAATAGCGACAAAACCGAAATAAAGCAGAAAGTCGTGTTAACACACTGAATATTATTGAAATTTTTGTTAGTACGTGAAATTAAACTACATTAAATATGTATTCTACTTTATTATTAAAAATGTATTTATTTCTTCTAACAAATGATATTTTAAATATTTATGTCAGGTACTGAACATAGGGATTACACGTTGTGCAAAAACTTGAAGAATGGTACCAGAACATAGCTGAATACCTAAAATGTGAGCCTATCTTCAATATTCCAAATTAAAAAAAGTGCTTATAAATAATATTTTAAAGCCATTTTAAAAAGTTCATCTGCTTAGTAAGTTTACTTAACTTTGCACCTGGTCTGTAAACACTAATCAATTAGTCACGTCAGTTCTTCATTGAGTTCGGCCAGCAAATGATTATGCTGGAAGAAACACTGCCACCTCCATATTCTTTTCTCATAAGAATGACATTTATCTCCAGACTGAAGGTTCACCGATGAGTTCGCCTCTGTCACAACTGCTAGCCAACATCTTCAAGGCAAACTTCGAAGAAAATACAATCGTTTCCCGTTTACATAAGCCCAAGCAATGGTTTAGGCATGTGCACTCTAAATTCGAATCTGTGGAAAACCACTGATTTACAGTGAAAAGGGCTCCACTTAGAAACAGTGGAAATTTTCACATCACTAATTAAATCAGTGTAATTTTTCCACTCAAACAATCAGCGTTGTTTTTTTTTTTTTTTAAGTGGAGTCATTTTCCCTGCGAATCAGTGGTTTTACACTTATTGAAATATAGAGTGTGAATGTCACATTCGTAATTTGGAGCCATGAAGAACAAAAACTGAAGCTATTTCTGGACGACCTGAACAGTTTACATGCTAACATACTTTATGCTGGAGTTAGCAAGAGACGGGAAACTACCTTTCATGGATGTCCTCGTAACCAAGAACTTAGAAGTCTGGGATATGACACAGTGTCTACTGAAAACTAACCCAAACAGACCGATATCTTCACGCTTGTTGACATCACCCATTTGCTCAAAAAATAACAGTTATATCAAACTTGGTCAACAGAGCATGCAATATCAGTGAAAAATTCTAACTTAATAAAGAACAGAATCATCCCACCAAAACTTTACAAGACTATGTACCCTGGATGAAAGACATTCAACGAGCCATTAACAAAAAACAGAAAAAAAAGAAAAACTGTAAACTATTGCTGTTCTTCCGTTTGTCCCAGGAGAATCACACCGCATAAGAAGAGTTTTAAAGAAACACCCAATCCACACAATACAAAAGCCTTCACGAAAATGAGAAACCATCGTGCCTACTGTTAAAGATAAAACTCCAGTTCAACAAGTAGGTGTCTACAAAGTGACATGTTCCTGCGGCAGAAGGATCAAGTTACACATACATGACCACAAAGTGGGCAACCACAGATCTGCAATAGTTGAGCATTCATCTACTACAAGGCATGTAGTAGAATTCAATCATATTTTAAACCGTAGCAAACACCAGTAATTACAGGACAAGGACGGTATGAGAAGCAATAGAAATAATGAAACACCCTCGCAATAATAACAGGGGAGATTGCTTCAAGTTACGTAAATCTTGGTAATCAGTTTAAAAAAATCGGAGCAAATGATCTGCTAAACTGCAAGCCAGAGTAAGTCAGATTGTGATTGGCCACCACTCTAGCCAATCAGAAGGGTACAGTGATTGGCTACCACAGGAGCAAAAAGGGTGCCTCATCTTCTCTCTTGGGCTACCTGAACAGCCGATCACAGGTAAGTTGCCCTTGAGTACTATTATATAACAGCCTCCTCCATCTCCTGAAGATGTTTCACGGCGGCACAGTGGAAGAGATCGTCTCGTCGTGGGAGGACGTCTTAGCAGTGTCGCGCTCGGTTTTCTTAACTCGCAAGGAGCCACTTGGGAAGCAGTTCCACTCCGGCCTATCCTGACCCTGGCTAACTACTCCCAGGGAATACAGTCAGCTGGTGGAACTCGCACTCACTTATAATTCGCGATAGCCGAACGTTTGTTTAGGTTTCGATTTTCACACACAAGATGGATAACACCAACGACACACATAAGATGGAGGCAGAAACTGCCTCCATTAAGCGCCAAGAGAAGGAGACGACGACTTGGAAAGACACATAAAAACACAAAACACAGCTACGAAAGACGACCTTACCGTCGTTTCTGGACGCATGTCTGGCGGGCCCAGTGCCCCTTTGCGGCCTACTCCAGTAAGCACAGCAAACAAATTTTAAAACATGCCTCAGGAGGCAGAGACAGGCCCTGGCACACAAAAAAAAAAAACACTTCGTTACAAAAGCATGCCAATCTTTATAAATGACACGGACAAACTTCGCTACATCGCGACTACATTCTAGGCACATAGTGTTGTATTCAGGAATACAATTACACGCCGCCGCGAACTACGTCTCACTTTTGACACCAGAGCTGACTATAACAAAGCAGCAGCCTGGTTAAAAGCACAGGAAATATCTTTCTACAGTCATGCCCATGCAGACAAGCGCAACATGAAGGCCGCCATCAAATGCCTTAGCGAATACACACCAGAAGACGACATTCTGAAGGTGCTGCAGG